TGGAAAAGCGGTTGCTAGTACAAATTATGGAATTTCGCCAACTCAGTTACTCACCATGTTGTAAAAAGAGGCATAGGAGTAAGCAGGTATGACGAATACGGTTTTAACAAAAAGAGGGAAAGTAGGTTTGTCGTTTACGTCGTGAAAATCGTCAGTATTTTAGGCACATAAGTGAACAAGACGTTTCAATTTTTCTCTTGTTCTACTCTGCAAAAAAATTGAAGTACATATGCATTCATCAGTGAAAATCCACATTAGATCAGTTTTAAAAAGATAAGTTATTGAGAGAGATTATTCAGGTGATCAAAGCGATATTTATTGCAATCCTTTTTGTCGACGTTCGGCGATTACGTTTCGTGTTTGGATGGGTTTGTAAATATGCTCAAACCATCATAGGCATAAAAAGAACGCCAGAGGACTCAAAACTTAGGTAAAGGTCTTCACGTTTTTGATAGACAGAAACAGAAGACCTACTAATTTTAGCAACTGAAAGTTTGACAATCGATTAAGCCTGCCGAAAAACCAAAAATATTCCCAAACAGTCAAAGGACAGTATGAAGTTTTACAGATTCTAGCATCACCAGAAAGCACACAGTAATCCTCTGAAATAAAACCTCTCTTCATGCATACAAAATGCACACATGTGATTGCACCTGTTAATTCTATTCGAAATTTCTACTCAGTGACCAGTATCTCGGTATGTAACTTCATGATGACATTTATTTCTCGAATGTCCCTGTCCGCGAGATCGAGTGAAAATCTCTTTATTTGAGCCAATCCACTCTCAGACAATTTGAAAACGAAAACATCACATCGAGTTTTCGTGACTTCAATTTAAAAATCATGCCAAACATCAGGCAGCTGACTAATTATCCTAGTTCATATTGCATTAATCCTTAGTGGACATTTCAATGCAAACAGCATAAAAACAGTTTTTAAAAGCTGCTGTACTTGCGTTGGTTTATTTACAAATTTATTTGTGGACGGGCTTTGTGAAGTTCTACAAATTGAGTTAACTCACCTAGCACGAATTTAATGCGCTTTCGGCATTTCGGCTTCTCTTAAGAAAGTTGTCATTTCTAACTGAAATAGATGCGTTATCTCATTAAATGCTGGCCAAACTATGAAATATGTCTTTGATTCGCAAAGATAACGTAGGTGAGGTTTTAAAGTTAATTATCTTGAAACATAATCTCAAAATATTTCAGTTATGCCCAGATGCCGGTTTTTGAGCTACCCTCTTTTCGGGATTTTTCATTAAATACATTCTGCAAAAAATGACGACTAGCGTAGCACGAATTTTTCGCATTTATTTTTGGTGTCATTATAAAAGCACATAAATTGTAAAGACAACATATACAAAATTATTTATTTTTTGCCCAGGTGGTAGCAAATCACGTCTTCTTCAAATTTTATACTAAAAGAAGGATGTTGTTAGGTTATAAAAACTCTTTCAACTCCCGGGTAATTTTGAGCCTGTCTCGCCACCGCAGTTGCATTCAGGATCTCCAAACTGCAAACTGTATATTTTCCGTGTAAGGCATTTCTATACGCTATTTAAAAGGCATGATATGGGGTTTCGTAAACTTGTGCGGTGCATTTGAACTATACTATGCACTTTACAAGCAACATTTATAAACGCAGCGATGCAATGTTTTAAGAATGACATTTCACGGTCTCATAAGATCCCTTGATTAAAACTTTTTGGAATTGGAATGTTTTCTTCTTCAGCAAAAAATCAAAGAAAACGTAATTTTCTACCAAAATGAGTACAAAAAACAAATATTTTTATCCATGTTCTCCATAAAATATGAATGGACATATGAGGGCATCGAAACTCGGTGATAAAAATGCATACTGCTCAAGTAGTCAATTCTTACAGGATGCGGTTTATGCAGACGGCCGGAAAGAAACTCGGTCAAAGGCCGACATCTTAGCATGACTGAAATAACTTGGGATTGTCTTGCACGATAACTACTATTACAACCAGACTTAGGCAATCTTTTCGGGCCGAAAGCGTATTTCAGGTGCTTGATTAGCATGTTACGAGATACCACATGTACTGTAATATATTGAAACTTAAGCATCCAAAGACATACAATTTAAAGGCAAACACGCACAGGGAGGCTGCTTGCCGACGCAAATGCCTAATGAATATCACTTTTCCAGCCCATTTGAAATGCTAAACGTTTTTTCATAATTAACTAAGTCTGGCGAAGATCTGAGGAACCAGCGTCGAAAATTTACTTAAGTGAGTTTTCTACTTTTCCCAACAGACGTGTTTGCCTGCAAACTGTAATATATATATATATGTTACATGCATGTATAATAATCTTTC